TTAATCATTTAAGAAATGCGCGCGAAATTGTGAAGGGCAATTCCCAACTAAAAGATTGGTCCAAATTAATGAATATTCTCTCTGAAAGCCAGAGACACAGCAATATTACCAAATTACTGCAGCACTTTGAAAATCCAGAAGTATACCGTGACCGAAAAAGGAGTCATTAGGCTAAACTTTGGCGGACCCTTGTGGCCCATTACCTTTCTCGCCCTTTCTCTCACAGATATATCAGAAAAATTTAGCGATCAAGTGCATTCACTGATTTAGCACAGCAGTTGGTTACTTATTATGATGTGGCAAAACGTAGTAATAAAGAAAAAAAAATAAAAAGGAATAAATTATTGTAACGAACTGTGACTTACAATGCCAATCAGAGTGATGTTTCAGATCAATACCGGGACCCTTTCACGGGTACATCGTTGCCATATAAGCCTTAAAACAAAGAAAATCAATCACTTCGCGTATCGCTTATCAGCCACAAGCACATTAAACGCAATCGGTCTTCATTAATGGCAAGTAGTTATCAGTTTCTTCCATATTTCTTCCCTAAACTTTCTTAAAGGTAAAAGGACAAGCTCATTCATAAAACAGATGACTTAAAAAAGATGAAAATTAGCTGAAATTTTAATGGTATCGAGTGTACAGCGCTCAGAACGTGTCACACCCCCACAACAAACCGCATGGAGAGAGCATCGCCGCCGAAGATGGCGCAGAGGAAAAAGGAGGCCGACGGCGGCCGATGCACTTGTCTGCATTTCTGCTTTTACTATGAGTTTCCATGTTAAAATCGCACAATAAAATTCGTAGCGATCGATTTCAAACAATTAATAGTGCCATTGTTGGGTTGCCAAGGGGTACGGCTACTTTCAGCTGGGGTCAGGAAACAAAAAAAGTGCTACTTATATAGCTATACATTGGCTTATCTCAAACCACGTGGCATCCATGCGCAGTCATACGTTTTCCCTCTACATCGTTTCATTGAGCGTTTCTATTACACCCTAAAGTTGACAAAATACATCAATACAAAATCTTCCAACACGGAACCACACACCCCATGTGAATTGAAATACAGTTAATAGCACTGTTATGTTGACAGGCAAAAGAAAGAAAATCTAGAAAGTTTTTGCCGTTAACCGGTCCTTTTTTGGGAAGCAGCATGCATACTACTTCACTTCAAATAATTACGGCTTTTTGAATGCGACATGGCATACAACGATTTGCGGGTGTGCGTGTGATGGGGGGGCGGCGGGGCGCTGGCTCGTCGGGGTCGGAGTTGCGCCATACGTGCAAAGCGGTTTTTTCCTCCCATTCAAATCTGGTACCCAATAACTAGCCACCTAGAGACGGGCAAAGTGATTGGCTCGAGCAAGGGCGAACTGGGCTTTGATCCCCAGAGCGAGTATATACATGTCGTCAAGACATGTCCAATTAAATAAATAAATAAAAAAATGTGCAAATGGCGCCTCTTGCCTTGACACCACCTCCGTCCTACCAATGTCTTCAACCAAAGGATTCTACCGAGAAGCTTACAAATGGCAAGACTTGTGCATCCGCTTAGCGTCCATGCACAAACCACGCATACGTCGCCCTCAAATTTAACTGAAGCAACTTTCGGGCACCCTACAGAGTGTTTAAATGGACCAGGGCAATACAACTCCTGCAGCTGGGGAAAACTCTTGCCAAGTACCACACTCCCCTCGAAATTTGACTCCCTTCTCCGTCACACTTCCTACCTATGACCTTCCTAATTTCGAGTAAAGCGGTGCCAGGAAATTTGGGGAGCGACTGGAGAGTTTGGGTGTATACAGCACACTTGAAGCAGGATAAATCGAAGAAAGTCAACAACCAAAATTTTTTTCACGAAAACCACTACGAACCCCCCCTCACCAGCACCAGATATGCACCACCCCCTTGCGGGGTACCAATGTAACGCACGGAGCTTTGATTTAAATGCCAGTCCCGAACCGAAACGTTTCTAAATGCAGATTTCAGCGGTCCATCAGTTGGCCAACCTTTAGCGAAGATGGTGACAATGAATGCAGAAGATTTATTAGTCTACTTACTCAAGAATTCTGCACAAAAAGCCTGAGATGCCTGTTTGACGTTCCCTCATTCCCAACACCTCCTTTTCATTCTTTAGCTCTTCGCTACGTTATATCATCGAGAGGAAATACTCATCCACGAGTAAGCCGCATGTTGCTTAATGGTAGGGAGGGCGGGAAATGGGGTGAGGCGCGTTAACAAAAACCTGGATGTAAAAGCGGCTCAGTTCTACCCTCAGATGGATCTCCCAACTATGCCGTGACCTACGTAAGGGGTCATTTTCGGAGAAATGTCCGACAATATGCCCTACTCCTCTGCGCTTAGTAGGATAGTAGGAAAAAGCAGTTACCCTGAGCAACGGACACTACAGCGATGAGTCAAATGATGCCAGCGAGGCGCGGTGATGGAAGGCAAACATTCGAAGCCGATGGAGTTAAGTGAGTAAATAGGCCTAATGACATCAGCGCATTAAGAGGAATATTTTGGAGGTAAGTCCAGCCTTCTTTGTGGTATTCAAAGCAACTATTTAATCAACCCGCAGCTTACCTTTTACAGAGGATATACGGCAATCGGCTATTACCAGAAAAGACACAAGAAATACCGATTGTACACACGTTTATTTCAGTAAAGTACACAATAACAATGAAAAAGAGATCAAAGCAGGGTTTAAGTAGCATAAACAAAAGTAAGCAGGTTTACATTAAGTGAAATTTAAGGGCATGCCCGTATTTATTTGATCGTGACAGCCTCAAAATCCGTCGCTGAAAATCACCGCCCGCTCGCGACGGGACCATGGCTCCGCCCACTGGCCACGGCGACGCCCACTTTAACTGCTATCCGATGGTGCAGTTTTCGGCTCTAACTCTCTCCATTTTGAATGGTGAGAGTGAGAAGATACGGAGAAACATCTGGCACCAACGAATCGGAACTCGTCCGACCGCGTCCTTTCTTCGGCTTATGCACGTACAATCGATTGACCAGCTATGGGTTCTATATGGGGCATTTCGAGCGGGGTTTTTATGCTTTTTCTTAACTTTTATAACGTTCGCCATCTTATCATTAACATTTGAGCCGCACCAAACACCATTTTTAAACGCGGGGCGTGCCTTTAGAGAAACGAGCACACATACTCATAACCTGTAGAAAAAAGAACACATTTCGAAAACCGGCAGAAAAACAAAATCCAACCGAGTAAGCACCAGAACAAATAAGGACCAAGAAGCACCATTAACCAAGAAAATCTGCGTCTTTTCTGCCCTTGCAGCATATAAATCTATCAGCTCATGGACTCGCCCTCAGCCTGGAGCGGCTCCATCATATCGACTGAGAAACCCTCCTGGAATAGGAAAAATGTAGCCGGCGTAAACACCACGAAGAATCCTTACTAAGTAAACTGAAGCTTCGCAGAGCAATGCAAACAAACCTCCTTCTGGAACCTATCGATAAACGCATTTTTGCTGCGAAGGCGAGCAAATTGTTGAAGAAATTCGTTTCGCATACACGGCCCGCTATGCTCGTGTTGTTATTCAGCATCAAGCCCGATACCTGAAACATAAGAAAGTTTTCATTTTATGATTAAGGTCATCATGAAGTAAAAAAAAATTTGGAACTACGCTTCCCATCGAAGGAAACCGTATAACAAAATATTTCGAAGGACAACAAGCATGCAGTAGGGATAAAAACACGAGAGCAGTGACACATCCTAACATCAGTGGGTAAGAGGCTTGAAGGTGCGCCCCTGATTAAAAATGGTGAGTTGTGTGGTGCTCAAATACCAGTGACAATATGATAATTACCAGAAAGAGTAAAGAAAAAAAAATGGGAAGAACCCCATCCGAAACCGCCTTCCAATATAGAACATGCTGACCCCGCGCTTGCCACGTACATTAAGATACGAAAGGGGGCGTGGTTCGGACGAGTTGTCAGTTGTTGGTGTCAGCCTTCCCCCTTATCAACTCACTCTCACCGTTCAAAATACAGGGTGGTAGTAGAAGGACAACTACACCAACAGGAAGTCGGTTCTAGAATGGAATCTGGGCGAAGTGGACGAATTTTCGCGTATTTCCCAGCTGCGAAGATATTACATCCATGCTTGCAGGCAAGACTACCCTGTCCAAAGAAGGAGTCTAAACTGTTAGTGAATGTGGAGGATGCCTTCAACCTACACCGTCACTTTCAGAGCTTTCTTTCTCTTAAGCCTTTGGAGATTGGTAAAACTTTACTCAGCTAGTGCTCTGGCAGTACTGCTCTGTTCGGAGCCTGTGTAGAAAGCGAAACTTCTGGTCGGCGTCTGCCCGCCTGTCGGTGGCTATGCTGAGTTTAATGAAGGGTCGGCCGTGGACGGTCTTTAGCCATGAAAGGATGATTTTCATGGCACTGATCAGCTCCCGTTTGATACACGCCACGCACTGTACTCCCACCTGGAATCTCAGTAGGACGTTTCGTGCGATTCGGCCAATAAAAAAAACCCTCCTAGAGACAGACGATGTATAAGCTAACTGTTTCCATTCCCCCACAAACGTGGAACGAGTCAGTCCCCCGAAAGGATGGAAGGATCAGTTCATCGGGAAGGGCTAGCCAGTCTGAGATTTTTCGTAGTAAACCACGATTTTTGCTTACATTATTAGCAGAATAGGCACGCAGAACGGAATGGTCAGAGCACAAGAGGGAGGGGAAATGCCTCAAGGTAACCCAATGGGCAAAAGGGTAGCTAGAGGTCGAAAGAGATAATTCGCCAGATTTTGTTTTTTTTTTTTTTTTTTTTTTTTTTTTTTTTTTTTTTTTTTTTTTTTTTTTTTTTTTTTTTTTTTTTTTTTTTTTTTTTTTTTTTTTTTTTTTTCTTTTTCCATATGGCGGCTGAGAATACACAAACAAGCCTTAGAAAGCTTACTTGCGATTTCAAATTTTCAATTTAAAAAGACCCAAAGACAAACCAGCAGAAGACCACCTTACTACTGCGGTTTTAGGTATGGAGACAATGGCGTGTGAAGAATTCGCAACGGGTTCGTAAAATCCCACGGTGCTCGACGTATTGCATTAATCGAGTGCTAAAAATATGTTTGAATAGAACTGCCCCGTCTCATGAATAATGCAAGGAAACCAGAATAATGTAAACAATTCTATATTGAAACAAAACTCTAAGTGATGAAATTCTATTATGATTCTTGCAATGACATGTATTCACTGGAAGGTACAGCGTTCAATGACGAGATCAGGGACAAAACAGGAAGGAGGCGCTACACTGCGCATCCGCAGAAGAAATAATCGAAGACGCTCTTGACAAGACCCCTCCACTGAGGCGAAACATGGCATAGTACGAGCACACCAAGGAAGGAGTGCTTGTTGGGATGAGTTCCTGCTTGATGACATCACAGTGTTATCAGTTTATTCCTCCATTTCGTCACTGTCACTTGCAGGATCTTTACCACATCCTGCGTGAACTACCTTAATTGCGACCGTGAAGTGAGCGGGGACTCCCCGCCCGGGATACATCCACCTTGGGTCAGGCATTGTTACACAGTCTGCGACCCTGACGAAACGGCGGTTGGGAGAAAAGCAAAAATAGTCATCGATCGGAGAATCGCCAACCGCTAGTTTCGCCGAACCGCCGCGGTTCGGCGGTTGGGCGAAAAGCAATAGATGTGTATCGATTTCGCTGGCGAAAAACGCCACGGCGATCGAGCTAGCGTTTCGTCGAAGGCGAAAAACGTCGCGGTTTGGCGAAACGCCCGTCGATTCGTATCAAAACCCTTTCGCCCAACCGCCAGTCGATACGTATCGAAAGCTTTTCGCCGAACCGCCGCGTTCCAGAGAAACGCTGGACCGCAGACTGTGAACAATGCCTCACAATATTCCAGCGCCTTATCACATTTCCGCCGGCAAACCCTGATCTCCTATAGTGACACACCTCAATCTGCTGTGCCCTTCCGGATTTCTGAAAGAAGAAGTTCATCTATCAGTTAAGCGGACAATGTGTCTTCAGGTTCCCATGAAGCAATACTGATTAGTGAACGAAATATAATTAGAGCACGGCACTATTTACCTTTACTGCCCCAACCATCCAGAATTGAGCCAGTTTCTGACCGACTTTTTCTCCGTGGACAGATTTGGCTCAAATGTTGTCTCCTGGGGTATTTTGACCTCCTGAATACGAATATGACATTCGCTTAGCCCGAAACCTCTTGGCGCCCGCGCCACACGCGCCGGTGATCTGGGTATTTTGGCGCCAGCACCTGTAGCGCGGGCGGCAGGAGGTTTCAGGCCGAGCGGATGTGATATTCGTGTTCAGGAGGTCAGACTACCCCTGAGAACAAGTTTTCAGCGAATTTGGTAATTTAAGGTATTTTGGCGCCGGCGCCTGTGGCGCGGGCGCCAGGAGGTTTCGTGCCTAGCGGATGTGATATTCATGTTCAGGAGGTCAAACTACCCCAGGGTACAAATTTTCAGCCAATTCTGCCGAGGCAGAAAAAGTCGGTCAAAGCCCTGTTTTCTGAAGATTGGGGCAGTAAAGGGTAAATAGTGCCGAAAGCACTATTCGAAAGGACATAACTTACATGGCCCGATAAGGCGACAGTGTTTACATCGGTAGAGGTGATTTGTCCTTGAAGGAACAAGAAAGCTGACAGCATACAATGACTTGGTCGTGTCATGCTTGCCGTGGAAACCTACAAATCAATCTCGAACATGGGGCTCATTGTCAGAGAAAGAGTGCTCCAGAAGTATAGAGATCAATGAACACAACATACCATCATAGAGGTCGGCTTTAGAAGATTCCGAACAACGTCCACCACCGACGTTTTCCTTGTGAACGACTCATTAGGATCCACTACAGGGGAAAACCCTAAAAAATTAAGCAATTATGGCTAATAATTTCTGAAAAAGTGGAGAGTTTTTACAGAAAAGAAAAGGTTTGTATGGACAGAAGTGGTGCGGTGGCAAGTGGGGTCGCTTACCACACACCAGTCCAGTTTCAAAGTTGGGACCGACTCCTCCCCTGGCTGACCAAATGCTCCATCCCAGAGAACCCGCTTATTTTCATACTGGATTCGTTTGGAAAGGAGAAAATAATGATCTGTCATAGACATGCCCCAGAGGCCTCCGCGTAGACTATTTCATATTCAACATGTCTATGTTAACTACTACAATTCTATGTGGAAGTAGAAAGCGTGGTGCATGCCAACAGGGGGGGGGGGGGGCGGGGTGGTCAGCTCCGAAAACTTCATCTTTTATCCTTGCACGTCCTGCTATATGGAAAAATTTTGGCACTGTTCAACTATTACACCCCAGTTTTCCGAAAACGGGCCGGATCTTGATCGACTTTTTTCGGGGGCAGATTTGGCTGAAAGTTGGGTTCTAGGGGTAATTCGACCTCCTGAACACGAATATCACATCCGCTCCTCTCGAAACCGCCTGGCGGCGCCCGCGCCACAGGCGCCGGCGCCAAAGTACCCCTAGATCCCAAATCGGCTGAAAACTTGTGCCAGAACCAGTTCGACCGTCCTAAAACAATGAATTCACATCCGCTCGGTCTGAAAAGCCGTCGCGCCAAGCACTTTTCAGGCCAAGGTGGATAATGGATATTCGTGCTCAGGAGGTCGAATTACCCCTAGAACCCAACTTTCAGCCAAATTTGCCCTCCGTAGAAAGAAAGTCGATCAAGATCCGGCCTGTTTTCGCAAAACTGGGCTAGTAATAGTTGAACACTGCCAAAATTTTTGCAAAATACGATCCCTCTCAAAATTAGGTCCTCTGGTACGACTGCCCTTCCCGTATCAATACCCACTTTCTCCTGAATTCTCCCTATTTACCACTTTTCCGGGAATTTCCCAAGAAAGTGTCGTCTAGCGGGCGAGCGGGGTGAGGGTGTGTCTGGGGTAGTTCACAAGAAACGGAGAAAACCGCAAAAAAGACCACAACGGAAAACTTTTTTCACAAAGGCCCATACGATCCCCTTCATCCAGTGACTAAATATGACCCTAACGCTGTGGATCCCAACGTACGTCATGCCTTTGTTTCACCGCGGAGCTGCTAGGCATCGTTCATGATGAGAAGTTTTCCCACCTGATTGTATAAAATGCAGCGGTTGTACAGGAGACAGTGTCACAGAACATATCGATCTCAGAACGTGAGAGTCGAAGCGAAACATCGCAGTTGATGTCGACATTATACGAGTCACCTGAAGATAAATAAACCATCAAAATCACAAGAGATTTAGCTTAAGTTGGCTTTGTTCGGCAACTATTCTAACGAATTTCCCAGCTGCTAGTTTCAGGAAATGTTGGGGCTAAAATAGTGCAGTTCTGTGGCAAAAGGAAAGGATACTTCCAAACACAGCATATTGGGAAGTTCTATTAGGTTGTTCGAAAAGTCCTGCGACACTTTGATTGAATTGTTCTAGAAAAAGACTAAAAATGATTTTG